TCAACCATCGATTCATTCAAGTCACAACTGGATGAAGCATTGAACCACGTAACTATTCAGTACCCGTGAGTAAACGTCAGAATTTGCTATTCAATTGTACTACCAACCAAACCCAGTGTGTACAGACCCTATGGGATTAAGTAAGCATCAGCTTTGTGATTTACCCATAATAAAAATTTGAAATTGAGTTACATCAATCCATTATTAGTCATATTGGATAGAAAAACAAGGTTTGAATTTAGTCTATGTGAGGACATTGATGGTGACGCCTCACGATAGTCAAAGCATTACACTTCGAGCAGAGCAAAGTTTGTCTCTTTCACGGAGCCCTTTTGAAAATTAGTTTCTATCAGACATTATATATTGAATTTCACCAAAACAAACTCTGGTTTCATGAATCAACGCTAAAAGGGGTGTCAACAAACCAAATGGTTTCCACTTGATCAAAGAGCGCACACGACTATGCGGATTCTGATTTGAATAAACAATGACGAGAATATCAGCTAACTGTCTCCTGAATGAAACCAACGGCATTAAATGACTTTGGAGTACGGCCCTAATTTACGCATNTGCTTCTTAGTTGTCGAAAATAGGTGTAAGCAGAGATGGAGGATGAGCACTCACACGAAAGTGAGTCTATCGTATGAGGACAATAGCAGGAGCATGCCACTCATAAGGGCACGGAGAGACATTTACCATTGACCTTCACAATCTAATTTAAAAGCAGTAGTTCTACACGTCCGAGTTGACGAGTTAGTGCAAATCGCACAGACAGTTATGGGGTTAAAAGTGCGTTTGATGAACAATTTGTAGTAGAAATAACAATAATATTAGTAAATAAGAATGGCAAGGCTGATGGATGAGTACAAGGATTACACTCATCCCGCTTCGAACTTTTCAGCGCAGGTCAGTTAACTAATGCATTTCTGTGCATCACTACTCATATCTACTCAGTGATTATTCTAACAAAACGGGAAAACTGACTGATCATGGATTGATAGCAAACACCCATTCAAGACTACTCGTTTGGTGCATGCCGGTGAATAACATTCCCGATAGAGACAACAATCATCAAGCAAATACTCAGACGTGGTGAATCCGGTGGCAACACTCCCGAGTCCGTATGCATCAGCTGTCCAAGGTATTCTTATGACCTACTACTTGGAATATATTTCATGCCTGAACTTCTCAACCCGTCATTTAGAAAGTAAATTTAAATATGGGCGGTCACCACGGAAATTCGATGGGTGAAAATTCCCGTAACAAGTAGGTGCTCGAACAAAACTACGATTACATCTATTAGGACAGGATTTTGCTTTGGGTACGAGGAAAGGAGCAACGGATATCTAATTCATGCTCGTGACTGCAATCCCCTAGTTCGATTTTGAACTGAGTGGAAAAGTGGTTCGATCAATGTATTTAATTTGTGAAGATCGAACAAACAAATGCATTACTAATCGATGAAGAAACTGGTTTTCCGGAGCTAAGAGACTAATTTTGGTACAAGACGAAGCGTAGCAGAACGCAGTATTCGAGTAAAACACTGGAATTAAAATCCGAAAATTTTCCACCGTTAATTGAAGTTAAAACCGCTACTGTCAATATTCGAACAGGAAAAGAGAGGTCACCGCAGTTTTTGTGTGCGCATAGGCGACTGTGAACTACAAACGATTTCAAAATAAGGTTCTTTTTGTCTTCCCTGACCGAATCGATTGCCCTTAAGTAACTAGCTTCCGGGCGCAACCAACGGTCTGCAACAAAGTATCTGGTTAGCTAATGCATATGATTTGCACGAAGAATCGAAGCCGAGAATAGGTGATCAGGTTAGCGGGAGGGAAAAGGTGCGAGAAACAGGTAAGAGAAGGTAAAACAATAAGGAATAGGGATAGTTCACTAAAATACCCGCGTGCAACTGACACGTTAATAATGGAAAATCTAAAAACAACCATTCTGGCGATTCCAACTCCGACAGTACATGGATAAGGATGAAAAGATGTGTAAAGGTTATCCTTTAATGAGTCAAATATTTGCATAATGTTTTCGGATGTTAAGATTTCAAAACGATATTAAAAATGAAATATAACTGAAATTGGAGAAGAAAACTCATTAATGAACTGTCTAAAAACACAATCGGAAATTAGGAAACCGACCAGTGAAATATGCACTACATCAAAATTAAGGTGGTTGCACCTGATAAAATGTCCAGTGTACCACAAGTAGCACCAGACTTACGAATCATCTTCATCCTATTTGTTTGCCGAAACCGGTTTAATGTGCCTGTGGGGAAACCAACTTGGAATAACCACATTTCGATCTACCGATAGAGCACTGAATAAAATTGAGCTGTAAGAAGCATACGCGTCATAGAAGGAAAAACCGATGAGATGAAAATGGAAACTCACACCAGCGTGAGATTGATGCTTCAAAACGGAACTGGGTACGTACGCGCCGTCGTAGGCTTTAATAACATCTTCTCGACTGACCGGAGTGAGGCCAAGGTGTACTGTGTCCAGCTGAATATTATGATACGCATCCACTTTCATTAAATAACCCTAAAAGAGAAACGAGAAGAGATATGATCAACGAACCGAGGTGGTTCGCAAATCATAAAAGTTATGTATTTCGAAGTGAGGATTCCTATTTCGGTCTTTGTATATATCGGTACATCCCAGTAACAACCTATGCCAGTTGAATTGTGATGTTTACTGGCTCCGTACTCCCACAAGAAGCCATATAGTGATGTAATTTGCGTGTCTTCATGACCAGGTGAAACAAACATGATGGCTTCCCAGTCGCAGATTTAATTATACGCTGTAAAGTCCATAAGAAGTTAAATGAAGTTCAATTCCACAGGGTGAGTTGAATACGAAAACGCTGGCGAACCTTTCAGCCCTCCAAGTAGGCCCAATCCCTCTCCATCTTGTACTTTATCACTTGATTTGTGTACATTGTGAGCTTGGCGGCGATCTGTGAAGTTCGCTTCACTGTATCTCGCTGTACGATGATGATGATTTCAGACTTTTTGAGGAAGTCCAATTTAATACCTCTCACTGAAGTGAGAGGACGAAAGGTCAATGTCTGGGACTATAACTGGGTTGACGAACCATCGGTAGCTAAGTCATTTAAGCTTATGAACCTATTCGAAGACTACTGGATACGTGCTCAGTAGTTCAATCGAACAATGAGATGTATCGGGCATCTTGGACTCGGGAGCTCGGCCCGATGAGATATCGGTTCCCAATGAAATGCGGACTAGAAGCACCTCCTCTCTGCCCTGTGAACAAAACGTTTCTGCAGAAAATTCAGAGTGAGGACCCCCAAGACTAACAAAGACCCAGATAAAGTGATTTGCAAAAGGTAAAAGGTGTGTGTTTACTTGAAACTACGAAAAGGAAAAGAAACTATAGGCAATAGCAATGTGCTTGCTCCACATGTTTCAGTTGGCGAATTAATCCGAGGCGATTTGGGTGTGCTTTCCAAGAGGTTTTGAACCTGAGATTTTTAATACCTCACTGTTGTTATTTTGTTGGCTTCAATCTACCCGCACCGTGCTAGGCTAACAATGATTAACTAAATGCTGAGTGGGTGAAGATAGGCATATGAAATTGATTCCTTGCAGCTGCAACGGTCAACGGACTGACATGTGATATAATACGTGATCATTCGAGTACACCTCAACGTCACGTGGAAACTACAGGGGCTTCGGTTCATATTAAGCAATTATCAAATGTGTGACCATTAATCCATGGTTTTAGCACCACTTTGTCGCTGCCTCTATAAGAACGATAAATCACACGGCACGACAAATCATCAACCGGCAATAAATAGGCAAGTGTTACGCAATAACGCAAGCCCCCGTTGTATCGTCCAAGAGAAAGCGTGCTTGAACACTAACACAGCCGTGTAACTTTTGGTCCCAAGACAGCTTTCATTTCCATAAAGTCAATTAGATAGTGATCCACAGATGACGAAATCGACCAATGCAAAAAAACACCGGGCCCTTTAACGTACATCTATAATTACCCATTGATAAACGCCAATTAATATACATGCGTGCATTAGTGCATGATTGAAAGGTTACGCCGAAAATTCTCCCGATCAATCAGTTGATCGGCGTTCTGTGCAAACGATTGTGCGACGGTCAGGCCGAAGGAAGTGAAGTAAATTTTGGTTTCATCACAACGATGCGCGTATGAAGGCACCAACTGGTGCATGAGCTCATTTCAATCACGTCTCACGCAGCCGGTTCGCCAACCCAGCAAACGCACCCTGGTGCATAGTCGTGCTCTTTAAGAAGCCACTTTCGTTCGCGCAGCCGTTTTGCCAGTTTCGATTGTCACCGGATCTTTGCGTTTCCTCATCGAATAGGATAAAAAGACTTGACATCAAAGTGTATAGACCATGCGAACAACTTCTCTCTGCTGTAACGCATACGCAGCTGAGTTCCCATCCCTCATCAGAAGGTGAGTGCTTAGTTTAGGACTGCCCGTAAGCCCCCCCCCCCCCCCTATACAGCCCAACATAACTTT